CTTATCCTCATGACAACTAGTTGATGTCTTTTATTAGAGTATCCAAATATCACACTAATTCTCTTTTTGTTACATCAATAAGTCTGTGAACTTCTTGTGCAGCCACTTTAGTTGCATTTTGTCAACTCTTAGGTTCGACGCTTACTATAAGAGTAGTAACAGTGCATCCCTTTCTTCTAGAGTCACTATGATCCAACTCAATTAACGTAAAATGGCGGGTTAGAATTCTTATATATTGAGCTGTTGTGAAAATGCAAAGCCAAAATGAATTTCTTCTTCTAACATTGTTCACAGAAATATATCCTGGCTTTGTTGGCTTTGTTCAAATGTCAAGCGTTGTTCATAGGAATAACGATGACGGGTGGTGGTAGTAGCAGTGACAACGATGGTTCCCTATGATAGTCACCTAGCCATGCTTTCCCCTGAACAAATTTTGGAAAAAGTGATTTTTGATATATTTTTTCAACTTTTACTTTTTCCCTTTCGTTTGTCTCTTTCATGAATTCCTTTCATATGCTTACCTTTGTTCTTCATATCACTGGTGTTTCCACCTCCAGAGAGCTCCTTGATTGTTGATTTTTCCTCCTTTTTTTTCTTATGCTCAAACCTTTTCTTCACACTTTGCATATTGTTTCTTTACAGAATTCACTACCGATTGCATCGATTTGTGATGTTCTATTCAATTCATAGAATGAAGAAAAATGTTCTCATATACTCTTATGCTATTTCCGTTGAACAACTTACTAGAATAATTCCTTCACCCTTTTTTCTCAAATTTGCCATCTTTGATGGTCTTTAGGCACGCATTTTATGCAACGTAGGTCCCTAACTTGCATTTTTCTTGTTTTAGCCAACATCTGTTTATCCTCTTCTCCTTTGTTCCAAATTATTGATTGAAGTCATTATATGATTTACATCTAGCTTTTTAGCTAGTTCATAACCCTTGAATCTCGATGTTCTTTGAACTCTTTCAACCAAGTAAAATAATTTATAACATTTGTTGTTTTCCTTGTATCCCATCACTCTTTTGATGTCTTTCCTATTTCTGTCAACATTATCATCAAGATTCATAAATAACGTTTCCTAAACAACTTCATCTAAGTTCTAAAACTGCCTTATCGTTCAAAGTCTAGTGGTTCTTCTGAAACATTGATAACCACCTCTTATCACCATGTTAACTAATGTGATTCTAAATTCTTCAGTTTAAATCTCAATTACATCATTTCTTAGACTTGCATCTATTGTAATATAAATCTTGTTACTACTTTTCACCAAGTTCCATAATTGAAATCACATTATTGATTTTCTAATACTTTTTTCTCATGCCTATGGTTTCTTGAATGCATGTTGTATTTGCTATTTCAACTTGTGATATTGTTGGCTCTCTCAACTTCAATGTTAAGAGTCTTACATTCCAACCACCCAGCGGTGTACTACTCATGTTAATGTTTCCATCCCCCATGTCCATTAAAGCATGAAGAACCTATCTCATTTTCTCACTCAGTCTCAGCATTGATGTGGCACAACTAAGGGTATGGCGACCCAGTTAGTGCTCATGATAAGAACCTACAGGTGTATACAAGAAAGAAAACACAGGTCAAGAGACATGAGTAGGAGCAATTTAATGCCCTTTTCGGAATTTGGATGGACCCATTGGGTCAACCATGCAACGGTTAAAATTGAATGGGAGGGAGCAGTTCTGATCCTGTATTCTAGGAGCAGTTATCGTTAGTTTGTAATAAATCTGTAGTCTTTGTTTTTAGGTGGCAGTCAGAAATAAACTTGTTGTATTCATGTTAACAAAGGAGATCGGCCATCTCGAATTTGGCTTTATCAATCTAAATCGTAATCGTTTGACTGCTTAATTTTTCCGGTTACTATCAGCTCACTTCTATAAATGTGATTCACTACATACAAGTTTCAAGGCAACACTATAAGGGGTGTGTTTCATGAGGGCAATATGGTCATTTACCCTTGGTGTGACATGGTGATGATGTGGTAGTAGTTAATGACATAGATTTATGGATTCCGATTTCTTGTTCATACATTATGGGGGTTATTGTATTCCTTGGTTTCTATTTTAGGAATGACACAGTTATATATTGTGTTGTAATTTTTTCTACTCTCTTTTTAGTGATTCCCAAGAGTCCACTAAGCTCACGGCAACTAGAAACTTTTAATCTTTGGAACATGATGACAAACTGAAGTAGCACGTGAAAGAACAGGGACGTAGGAAGTGGAAGAACATAGCTCAAGCCCTAACTCAGAGCGGTTAATATTTTTATATTTTTTATAAAGACTTTGTGTTTATCTCTGTGTGGTAGATGAATGGCGTCGTCAGAGATGGACTTACCGCTTGAAAACTGAGAAGTCATTTACCAAAGACAAAAAGCGTGTGATGGAGTCTTGGACTCATGGGCCAGAATGGAAGAAGATTGCCAAGTTTTTTCCTGGAAGAACAAGTGCAGCAATATGAATATGCTATATGAGACGAAGCAAGTTGCTGACCTAGTGTTACCGGGAGAGCTGAGGAAGCATCAGAAGTTGGGCTTAGTATTACCGGGAGAGTCGATGATGCATCGGAATTTGGGCCTAGTGTTACCAGAAGAGTCGAACAAGCTTCAGAAGTTGGCCCTAGTGTTACCAAAAGAGTCGAACAAGCTTCAGAAGTTGGGCACGGTGTTACCAAGAGAGTTGAATCTTGAGAAGTTTAGAAATAACTAGCTAGCTTTTTTTTCAATATTCAATTTTCAACATTTGTACTTTACGTCTTTTCATGTAATACAAATGATAGGCTCAATGTCACACCTCTAAATCCCTTTAGGCTAGGGGTGTGGAGCCTATTATTTGTATTACGTGAAGAAATGTAAAGTACAACTATTGAAAATACCTAGTTATTTTTAAACTTCTCAAGATTCGTCAAACTTCCCTGGTAACACTAGGCCCAACTTCAATGCTTATTCAACTCTCCCAATAATACTGCCCAACTTATGTTGCCTTTTCAACTCTTCTGTAACACCAGACCCAACTTTTAACGCTTCTTCAACTCTCCAGTAACACTGGCTTCGTCCTTGTCTTGCTCTGTCTCATAGCATATTCGTATTTCTGCCCTTGTTCTTCCTGAGAAAGACTTTGGAATCTTCTAAATTCCGGCCCATGAGTCTGAGAGTTTTTTATTTTATTTTCGTTAGTATCTGGTTGTTTAACTTTCAAAGACCACACTGGTCGTCTAGAACATAGAAATAAACACATAAAGTCAACGGTCCAGTAAAAATTAATACAAAAATATTGCTGGTCTGGTTTAGTTCTTTAGCTACACGATTCTACTTCCTAGGTCCCTTTTCTTTCACATGCTTTGGTTTGGCATCATGCTCAAAGTCCAAGAGTTTGTAGTTAGTTGCCTTGGGTTTACTGGAATCTTGGGAATCACTGAAAAGTCGCCCCACCCCTTTGCCAACAGAGCTACACGCCAGAGGCAATTCTTTATTTATATATATCTATATAAGTTATATATCTTTTTATAATTAAAATTATTTAAACAACATTTTAGGGGCAATCTGGTCATTTTAACAATTTTCTTTGTCCTGTTCAAGTAGTACCAAATGCGGACTAACAATTAGTCATGTCCCATCTAGTAAGTGTACCAAATGCTACCTAAGGGTAACTATCTGATCATTGCTGACTTGTATAAATGTGATGTAGCTCATACTTTCAATGCAATTTGTTTTCCTATACAGTGTCACCACACATGCCGGAGTAAACAACCGCTCTACTCTTCGGGGTGGAGGTCATGTCTCCTTACATATCACTTCCCCCAGAACCCACGTTCGCGTGGGATATTCTGGGCTTGTTTGATTGGTATACAGTGTATCACCAATAGGTTACACAAGAACAAAATTATTTTCCTTCATTTTTTAGAATTAGCTAGATAAAAATGCCATATTGCTGGGTGCATACCCACCTATTTTATTCTAGCATGGAATTGGCTATATTTGAAAAATATGTAAGTAGCATTGATTTATGAGATACGTCTTGCTGTAACCAATAATCTTAAAACATATTTATTTTTTCCTTTTGTGCCCCTTTCCGATCAATGCATCAAGACCAAATGTATGCTTGCATTAACATCTGCATTTTGACCATCTAAAAAGTATACATGTGCCTAGATGGATACAAAAATTGGGGATATAGGTACTCAAAAAACAGGTGTGGCTTGGAAAGTCTTTAGACCTGGAATATGAGTGTGTTTACATCTGTGATATATGTATACGTGGTCAAATAGTTAGACAGATGTCCCTAAAATAAGGATAAAAAGAAGTCATGATATTATGTCATTAGATGAAGTTAAGGAATTGTCGGAACCTTAAGTTTTTTATAGGTATAAATTAACAAACACGGAGATCAATTGTCATTCTATAAAATTCTAGGTGTCTGTTGGAAACTAAACACCATTGATTATTTCAGGGTCTTGTAAATCCTATTTTTTGTTCATCAACTAAATAGTCTGATGAAGAACTTTAGCTGCGGTTTTAAGAGCAAAAAGAAAAGGAGATCCATCTCCTTTGCTGTAGTTTAGCCTTGGTCTTAAGATCTCACTGAACTATTGGTCAACCCGTGTGGCTTTTACTGCAACTGTTGCCCTCCTCTCCCACCCCAAAAAAGGATAAATCAGTTGTGCATGTGTGTCTGTGTTTTTTCCTCTTTTG